TACACAAATATAAATACTTATTTTTACTTATTTTGTGTTTTTGTAATAATTATAGGGAAAATATTACATCAGTAATTGTTTTATTACCCTTTAAATTGATTTCTGGAGATTATCCAAGGTGCTTCATGACCCATAATTGGGTCCCAAGTACAAATTTGGGAACCAAAGTGCAGTGGTTCCCAAACTTTTCAGCTTTTGACCCACAAAATAACAGCAGCAGAGACCTGTGGCCCCAGCTATTTTTGGATGACAAACATTTGTATCAGGTCAACAAAACATGGGCATAGTAACAATATTTTTTTATATTAAATTTACCAAATTTAAATATACTAACCTCACTCATTTGTAACAACTAAGACAAAAATGTAATTAATTCAGAAAATCTTTTCAGGACCCCACCTTGATGTTTCGGGACCCCACTTTGGGTCCCGACCCCAACGTTGGGAAACACTTTTATGGGATTCCACCTGGGGAACCAGAATCTTAAAACAAGAGTCCGTAACTGGTTCACCAAGTTTGTAATGGGTGCAGCCGATTTAGACAAATTCRCCTCTCAACCCTAAATAGATTTTTCTTACAAACGTGACACCATTTAGAAATAAATCAACATTCTTCCCAAATATAAAAATGTCCATTGCTAAGAAGCATAGCTTCATCAAAGAAATAATCAGTAATATTAATTGCTTTGCTCTTTGTGCTGTGTTTATATATCCTAAATGTGACCTCAAATTTATTATCATTGCAGAGGTCTGCGATAAATAATGGTTCATTTTGTTTCAACTATCATTCATTAATGTTCTGCTGATGACATATTTGGTTAACCTAGCTGATCTGGTTTAGATAAATAATGAAAGAAGAGAGGGAGGAGTGAGAAAAAATAGTATTTATTGTAATCAATATTGCATTTTCAGTATTGACTGGAGCAACTTTTTCAGATATTGTGCAGCCCTGATATTAAGGAGGATTTGTTCATGAATGCCAGTCAGATAAAAGGTGAAATAGCAGCTTCCTAGTTTCTCCTTGTGTACAGTTGCCTCATTGTAAATGAACATCCTGATAATTTGACGTTCGTTTCAATCATTAACACCCTGGTTTCACAAGCTGCAAGTGACAACTCACCTCATCACTTTAGTTTGTATTCTTCCTCCCTTTCCTCTTCTGCCGTGGTTCTTCRCTGCAGATGGTTTCTGTCTCCAGCTGCAGCCAAAAATATGTGTAACGTCATAACATGACAGAGCAATGCTTTATTTTATTTTCCTAATCGCTAAGAAGAAATACTCTTGTTTTGTCGCACGGCGGGGGGAAAAAAAAAACGTAGTCGTAGGTCAGACTCGCCCTGGAGCCACGCTTCCCGAACCGTTTCAGCCTCTCACCCACAAAATAACAGCTGCAACCCTTCAAATTGCTGGTTTAAATGGACTCGTTGCAGCATTATGAAGCTGGGAGTTTTTATTTTAAAGCAGTAAACAAAATCTGCGTCGTATGTTTCTCGTGTGGACGGTTTGAATCTGGAGGAGAAATTTGTGACCCGATGCCAACGACCATGTGCGTTTGTTTATTTACAGAAACAGCTGACCTTGCACCACCTGATATAAGGCTCTGCTTTTCATCGAGTACCTTTTTAAAATGTTGCTAATAAGTCACATATTATTTGATGTATGGAATTCATCTGAAGACCCCTCGCTTGTTGTTTCCCGACCCTCTGTGGGGTCCCAGCCCCGGCTTTGGGAACCCACTGCCCTAGAGCAAACAGGCTTTTCGGTTCCTCTGCTTTGGCACCCTGCTGGTTCAAAGGCGACCGCTGAATGTTATCATTCTCACCCGTGATTAGAGGCTGTTCCTTGTTAACATTCTCATGATTCCTTGCATTTTCCGGTTCTCAACATCCGGCAGATATTTTTGTGTTTTTTTTTTTTTAAACGTGGTGTTGGTTCCCTCTTTCTTCCTCGCTCGTCACATGAACAGAAACTTCCTCAAAGTTCTGGCTCGACACAGGCGTGTGTCACGCAGATGGTGCCTGAAAACCTGTGTTTTTCTCAAAGAGAGAGAGAGAAAAAAAGAAAAACTACAACCGCGTATGGACGAATGTTTGTGCACTTTTAGTTTCCGAGCGTCTTTTGGATGGCGATCCCCTTCGGCACGGCTTCCAGTCTTGGTGGCGGTGCAGTGGGCGAAGGCTTATCATCTGCTGGAAGACAGAGCGGACACTGAAGGGACACACTGTGACCCTCCTTCCTCCTGAAACCGTTTCTGGCACCACAATCCCACCCCCCACAGATTTATCAGAGAAAGTCTGGGAGGCTTTTCTTGTGGACATCTGAAAGCTGTTAGTGCCATCGGTTGCGCTCATTCACGTCATCTTTGATTTTAAGCCTCACCGTTTGTATTCCGAGAGAGAGAAGAATGTGGTCCGGATTAAAGAATGTTATCGCCCAGATCTTTGCATGGAACGGCAGTCTTTTTAAATGCGAGTGTCAACATGAAGCTCGTGTTATTTGCAGTCATAACTGAGAATTTGATCTGTTTGATATCTAAACACCAATCGTTTTTTTTTTAAGCTAAAGATGCTTAAACCATGAAATCACCTTTAGTACAATCCTGTGAACTTTTTGTCCTTTATCTCAGCTTAGAAATAAAACACGCAAATTATATACCTATAGTGGTGGTACGGCTCATGAAATTGACTAAATTTACAAAAAACATAAGAGGAAAGAAACAAACAATGGTGATCAATGGGATTTGGGCAAAATGCGTAAGAAAAACTCCTTTTTTTTTACTAGGGCTGCCACAAACGATTATTTTTATAATCGATTAATCACCGATTATTTTTTTCGATTAGTCGACTAAACAGATCATACGTTAACTGAATATAAAACATAGAGCTTATTGTGCCAGAATGCAGCTGTTATTATATAACCATCGTTAGATTTTAGCTATATGCTAACTAAAAATAATTGCTGTGGAAGGTAAGTTCTGCTCTGCAGATATTACACAGGTTTCTCTTTCATTTTCTTAAAATGATCCCACACTTTGAGCTCCGTTGCTGGGTAGCCATGATACCAGAGCCTGTCTGTATAATGTCTTGTGACGTCCACGGCCTACCCCAGTTACCACTACTGTGCATGTGTGTCAAGGACAGAAAGGCAGATGTGGCAGTGGAAGGTGTCAAAGCAGTTTGGAGAGAAAAACAACGTAAAGAACAAAAAGAAAAAGAAAACGATTAATCGATTATTAAATTAGTCGTCGATTAATCGTTGCAGCCCTACAGAAGTCTGTAGCTCGGATATAATTCACTGTAAAAACATCTTTCAATGCTGAAAGTTAGACTTTATATGTCTGAACTGGTGCTTTGGTATCTTCTGCAGTTTTTACACATTTGCAGCTTAAGCTTGATGATTTTATGAAGTCACGTCTTTTAAAGTGTTCAAATCCTTTGCAAACATCTTCTTTCCTCTATAAATCTGTGGTAAATATGCAAACTATGCCTCAAAACGCAGGCATTTYTGTCTTCTTTCATCCAGTGTGTCTCTTACTGCTGT